GGGCACTATAGTGCCAGGAAAACGAGTATGTTTTCCTGGCACTATAGTGGTCCTTTAAGAAAAAAAAAATATATAGCTAGAGAGAATAGCAAATATACACTATCTATGACAAAAGTAAAAGAAAGAAGATAAAGTAGATAGATCAATGTAGAGAAATATACCCTCTATCTTATTCTATTTGTCTTCACGCATGTGGTTTTTTTTAATGTATTTTTTGCAATAAGTTTTTCAATAGAAAAATAAATAGACAGGCTTGCACATGGTAGACATACAGAAAATATATTGCTGTCAGATCCCTGTTAGTGTTTAATCCTGCAATAATTTCATTTCATCCTCCTGTTGATACAGGGTTACACAGCAGAGATTTATTATCTGCTAGCTTTGGTAATCCAGACATTATTACCTTGCCTTAAGTGGATTCCAGCTATATTAAAAAAAAGGGGGATATTCGGGAGACCTAACGCTACAACCGATAGAGAGGGCCTTGTGGCATAATGCAGGCTGACACGATGTTTATTAGCTGAGAGCTGCTTGTGCTTTCTAATTAGAGATATGAAGCACAGATATGCACTGGAGGCATGTAGGGGAAAAAAAACACCTTAGAATTTCTTAACCTGTTTTCTGCCAAACGATTCGGAAGACAAAGAGTGATAGGCTAGGCATGGAAGACAAATAGTGGTTATAGATGAAATATTGGCTGTGTAGTTTTTTTTTGTCCCAACTTTGGCAGCTTTGTTTATCTATTTTGTGTTTGACGTTAGTCTCATATTTTGTTTTCTTCGGAATCATCGAACATAGGTAGGATAGTTTGGACTTGATGAACCATGTGGGTTTTTTGTTTTTATAAATTAACTGACAGCAACTATGTTACCATTTATAATATGATATGCATAGAGCTACATAAGGAATTATAGGGAGAGGATATATGGAATTATAGGTAGAGTTATAGGAAGAGGTTATATAGAATAATAAGAGCAGTTCTATTGAAATGTTACATGGATCAACAGGAAGAGTTATAAGGAGAGGTTAAATGGATATACAGAGTAAATGGGGAATTTATAGTAAATTTGAACTAGAAAAAAAATATCTGAATTATATCCAGAATAAAATGTCCTATTGTGTAAACAGCTATATGGTAATATCCTTCTAGAGAACTGTTTATTGTAACTCGCTGAAGTGCCGGTTATGCAGTTGTATTGACTTGTATTATGGATATTCCTGCATGACTACAGGTGACTCTGTCACCAGCTGGAGCACCTCTAGTGGCTGTCTGAGTGACTGCTACTAGAGGTGTAAGGAGCTAGCATTATAAACACTGCATTTTCTCTGAAAAGACAGTGTTTACAGTACTAATGCTGCAGGTGCAGACTATAGACACCAGGACCACTACACTACGCTATAGTGTCTCCTTAAGCATGCAAAGTCTTTTATACCTGTTCAGTGAACCAAACAATTATGTTCTCTTTAACTTGCAAAATATCTGATGTTTATTAAAATTGCCAGAATAATTGCTATTGCTATATGAACAATAATTATAATAAGGCGTTGTAATTGTTTTGTTTATTGATGCTCTCATCCAACAGGAGGAGTCTTCCATCTTCTTCTGCAGATTGCCACAAGTGGATATTTTTTTTTTTCCATTGATTCAGGGGGCTAATGTATTAATGTATGTTGTGTTATTCCAGATTGGCATGCAATAAAAGTACACAGACAATAGACTGATGTTCCATGGACCACTGAGTTAAAAAAAGGCTTCTGGAGTGCTCCCATCCTGCCAAGCAGGAATGGACAGAGGAAAGGATTTTCCTCTGCCTGAATTTGCAGGAGAGCACATCATGGGGAAGTGCTAGGCAAGAGAGACAAATGTTTTGGGAACAATTATGAGGGAAACATAAATGGGAAGTGGGGGATTAATACAGGTGATGACAAGATGGTGCAGCAGGGTGACACAACTGAGATAGATAGAAAGAAGGGAGGGAGACAGGAGTGGGGGAGATGGTGGATTGAGGGCAGTAGGTGGAAGAGAGAGAGAAACACAAGAGGGGAGATACAGAAGCCGGAAAGAGCTTCAAGAAGGAAAACAATCAGGATTAGTGTACAGGAGTGGGGACTGTGGTAGATATACAGTTTGGGGGGTAGAGATGTAGAGATCAGGAAGAACAAAAATGCATTTAGAATCAAACACACTTGCCATGCTCAAAAATGCATCTGCTTTCGGATACACTATACATGATCCATCACCAATGACACTCACATACACACACGCACACAAAATGCAACACAGCACAGATAATATATATTGAAAAGGAATAAAAGCAGCTTTGTAAAGGTTTCAGTAATTCTGTGCAATTTTTTAGACATATAATGAAGTGAAATGTGCTCCTTATATCATCCCAATCAGAAGGACTGCACCCAGAGTCTCCCTGACCCCTCACAACTACAACAAGTCATAGTAGCTACGGTGCTTGGAGTATTAGCCTTACAGGGATATTCACTAAAGTGAGAATTCAAGGAAATTTCTCATTTAAGGTCAAAATTACCAAACAAGAAAAATTCTCTAAGTCAGTTATGCTTTCGGTTTGGCTACTCTGGCCTTCAATTTGAAATTCACTTTAGAATCTCATTTTAGTAAATAACCCCATTAAAGTTTAACATTTCAGGGGGTACCAGTGGACAAACTTACTCCAGTTGTCAACCTATCTAGCTCTGCCTCTGAAATACAGTTTTCCATTGTTTGACATTGACAGTTCATATTTGGAAAGGTCGTAAAGTCTAAATCTTATGTTTGTGTTTTCTGGCAGACTTTTTGCTACTAAGTGTAACAGTTGCCTAAAAACAGTGATGCCCTCTGAGCTCATAATGCGTGTCCTCAACCACGTGTACCATGTGTCGTGCTTCTACTGCTGTGAGTGTGAGAGGAGGCTGGAGCGAGGAGATGAGTTTGTCCTTAAAGAGGGACAGCTATTGTGTCGAAGTGACTATGAGAGAGAGAAAGAAATGCTCAGCACATTTAGCTTGACACCAGCTGGATCAGGTCAGTTGAGTTCAATTGAAAATCTATTACTCATTCTAGCTATACATTGTGATGGTCGCAAGTCTTTTTTCAGCCCTATGCAACTACTGAACTAGCAGTTATTTTAATATTTCCCAAATTCTGCTTTTACTGATGGGTGCAAGTGCCCATGAGGCCTTCAGCTTAAACCATCTCGGACCTCAAATTAATATTTTTGGTAAAGTGGTCTGGGTGCAGTGTCCCTGTCCCCCTTAACCCTGCAATGTAAGTCTTAAGCCTGCAATGGTTGAGACTGCTTCTTTTGGCTGTTCATCAGGCAGCCACTAGAGGTGCTTCCTGCAGTTTCATGGAGTTTGACTCGGTGAAACAATTCTAGACATCCTCACCCTTTGCATGAGGATGTCCAGCGACTTCTAAATCCGCATAAGAATGCATTTTTCCCCCATTGACTGACATAAACAAAGGAGGAACCCGACCCAGCAGCAAGAAGACATTGGCATTGAAATCAGGTAAGTGTAAAAAGTTTTTTTTAATCCTTTTATGTACGGGAGGAAACGGGTGGACACACAGGCAGAGGGACACTTTAGTATTAGGAATACATCTTTGTATTCCTAACATTAAGGTGTTCCTTTAATATCCTTGGATAAACTTTCAAATAGAGTTGGTTTTTTAAAATATTCACATATCAAAAATATTTAGTATATTTAAAAAAAAGTACATCTTTAAAAAAATACCAAAATATTAAATAATTTGCAAAACGTATCCAAAAATATTTTTATCATTGAAAAACATATTCAAAAATACAGTTGCAAGAAAAAGTATGTGAACCCTTTGGAATGATATGGATTTCTGCACAAATTGGTCATAAAATGTGATCTGATCATCATCTAAGTCACAACAATAGACAATCACAGTCTGCTTAAACTAATAACACACAAAGAATGAAATGTTGCCATGTTTTTATTGAACACACCATGTAAACATTCACAGTGCAGGTGGAAAAAGTATGTGAACCCCTAGACTAATGACATCTCCAAGAGCTAATTGGAGTGAGATGTCAGCCAACTGGAGTCCAATCAATGAGATGAGATTGGAGGTGTTGGTTACAGCTGCCCTGCCCTATAAAAAACACACACCAGTTCTGGGTTTGCTTTTCACAAGAAGCATTGCCTGATGTGAATGATGCCTCACACAAAAGTGCTCTCAGAAGACCTACAATTAAGAATTGTTGACTTGCATAAAGCTGGAAAGGGTTATAAAAGTATCTCCAAAAGCCTTGCTGTTCATCAGTCCACGGTAAGACAAATTGTCTATAAATGGAGAAAGTTCAGCACTGCTGCTACTCTCCCTAGGAGTGGCCATCCTGTAAAGATGACTGCAAGAGCACAGCACAGACTGCTCAATGAGGTGAAGAAGAATCCTAGAGTGTTAGCTAAAGACTTACAAAAGTCACTGGCAAATGCTAACATCCCTGTTAGCGAATCTACAATACGTAAAACACTAAACAAGAATGGATTTCATGGGAGGATACCACAGAGGAAGCCACTGCCGTCCAAACAAAACATTGCTACATGTTTACAGTTTGCACAAGAGCACCTGGATGTTCCACAGCAGTACTGGCAAAATATTCTGTGGACAGATGAAACCAAAGTTGAGTTGTTTGGAAGAAACACACAACACTATGTGTCGTGAAAAAAGGCACAGCACACCAATATCAAAACCTCATCCCAACTGTGAAGTATGGTGGTGGGGGCATCATGGTTTGGGGCTGCTTTGCTGCGTCAGGGCCTGGACGGATTTCTATCATCGAAGGAAAAATGAATTCCCAAGTTTATCAAGACATTTTGCAGGAGAACTTAAGGCCATCTGTCTACCAGCTGAAGCTCAACAGAAGATGGATGTTGCAACAGGACAATGACCCAAAGCACAGAAGTAAATCAACAACAGAATGGCTTAAACAGAAGAAAATACGCCTTCTGAAGTGGCCCAGTCAGAGTCCTGACCTCAACCCGATTGAGATGCTGTGGCATGACCTCAAGAAAGTGATTCACACCAGACATCCCAAGAATATTGCTGAACTGAAACAGTTCTGTAAAGAGGAATGGTGAAGAATTACTCCTGACCTCCTTGTGCACGCCTGATCTGCAACTACAGGAAACGTTTTGTTGAAGTTATTTCTGCCAAAGGAGGTTCAACCAGTTATTAAATCCAAGGGTTCACATACTTTTTCCACCTGCACTGTGAATGTTTACATGGTGTGTTCAATAAAAACATGGCAACATTTCATTCTTTTGTGTGTTATTAGTTTAAGCAGACTGTGATTGTCTATTGTTGTGACTTAGATGATGATCAGATCACATTTTATGACCAATTTGTGCAGAAATCCACATCATTCCAAAGGGTTCACATACTTTTTCTTGCAACTGTA